TACACACAAAATAAATGTAGATTCATCACTGGGCAAATAGAATGTATGAGGGAGGGGGGGGGGGACTAGAAACATGAATGCTGCCTTTCCCCAGCTTTATTTGCAGTAGACCTTTTCTTAAATCTTGCGAAGTACAAATTATGTTTTTTACACCAAAAATGTCAGAAAATTAAAGCTTCACACAACCTGAAGCCTATTATAATACAGCGTTTCAAGTTTCTTTTGTCTACCACTTGTACTTTTATAGATTTACCCAAAAGTACAGAAAATCTTTAACCAGCAGACGGACACACGGGCGGAATGGGGTAAAACAGCACGCCCAGACAAAGTCGTACTGGGACATATAATTAAAACTGGTATAATGCAAAATACAATTATAATTTTTGACCTAAGGTCTCATGGCAATGTTTCCATTTTATTATAATTTACCATCTGTATACCTACATGCAGTACACATTTCACAAGTGTAACTAGCTAAGCCTATCATACATGTGATGTATACATCATTTATATTACGACAATTTATGTGTCACATTGTGGGTGATATTTTCCAGAAAAGTATATACATACATGTACAAGTACTTACTCTATATCTGAGACGTTGGACATTAGTGTATCTACAGATAGGCTAGGTTCTTTATGGGCAGGTGTGGATGTAATCAGTACCGGTGCCGCTGTAGATGTGTGTGATGCCTTCCTAGACAGAGACGTGCTACATGTAGGTGTCTCCATTGAAGTGCCAGGTGCCCCCATTAAAGTACCAGATGGGGCGGTGGCTACACCATGTATTACTGAATTTCACGATACCCCCACCAGTGATGGATGTTATATTAGCTATAGGAGTCACATGTACACTCTCCTTGACCCTGGCCCAATAAAAGGTGGATGGCTAAAACAGTTCACCATGAATCATCGTTATCAATGAGAAATATTTAAATACAAGGAGAAGGTGTTATACTATTTGTTTTTATATTTACTCTAAACAGAATGCAGGTACTGTCTATTACTATAACATCTGAATTTTTTTCAAAGCAAACACCCCCCACAACCCCTTCTGGTGACTTTTGTATGAAATTTCTAACTGGAAATATTTATTTTTGCAGTAGTATATAACAAACTTCATCTTCATCTTTAGACCTTCCTCTGTCAATATTGTCAATATAAACAAAGTTCTATGAATTCAGGATCCATGAGCATTATTAAATAATTCAAATGTACAGTAGATTTGGTTGCAATCACTATCGGCAAGGTATAATCTGTATTTTTACGTATACATGTAGCTCTAACATCTTGGATGTAGGAGAATTATAAATAAATTATACTCGTCTGATAGGCCTTACAATTTACTAATTGATGTTTTAAAACTCTTATTTTATATCATAACACTGAAAATAAAGATAAAAACACGTGTAAAATAATAGAAATAATTAAGAATTTCGAAAACCACCCCAAACAAATGTTTGTTTTGACTGTACACTATTTTATGTAAAAAAATGTTTACATTTGACCTTGATGATGACGCGCATGCGGTAAAAATACATCACTGATCTGGGTCAATTGAGAGTTTTAAACTGTCAGGTGACGAATAAGGGTTCTTTAATATAATTATAATTTTTACTCTTAGGGAGCGAATTTCACCAAAATTTGAATCGGTATATTTTATAAGAAGGTATTTTAAACATGTGTATGCCATTTAAGCAAATGTGATTTTTTCCCCTAGACCAGCCCCTTTAAAGCACTTTATCCCCTGGGGATGGGGTAAAGATTACTAAAGTTATTTAGAAAAATGATACTTTTGGGTATATTTGGTTCATTTCCAATTGGAAATCATTGAAACGTGATGGACAATATAACTTCGAAATGACAGTTTGGGCTTTGGCTATCTTGGAATCTTTTCCAGACTCGGATATGGCTTCGTTGACTTAAGTACTATCCTTGAACAAGCAACGTCCGACACATGCACAGAAGCAAAACTATTATTACAAGATGAATAAACCGGAAAAGATTAAAAATAATGGCGTACACATCCATAGTGTTATATTAAAAAAAACTTTGCCAAAGGCCTGATTGTTTCCCTAAACAGCACTTTGTATGTTTGTCGTTTATCATGTTAATTTGAAATATGCAAAGCTTCCAAATGGCAAATTACAATACNTGTTCCTAGCATATTCCTCATCACCGGTATCTGGCACGCCTTCACAATGCTCAGGTTGAGACAATGTGCTGCACAGTGGACGTAGATTGCTTTGTCGTTGATGGCCTCGATGCGTCCTTGCACACCCTTCACATGTCCAGCCATGTTAGATCCACCATCGTAGCCCTGGCCTCTCAAGTTCTCAATTGGAAGATCCAAGTCCTGAAGGGTGTCGCAGATCTTCTTTGTAAGAGCCTCGCCTGTAATGCATTCACAATCCAGGAAGCACAGAAACTGTTCCCTTATAGCATTGTTCATGTCAACATATCGCACCACTAAAGACAGTTGTTCCCAGTTTGACACGTCTGTGACCTCGTCTGCGAGAATAGAGAAGATCTTGGCCTTTCTCACTTCATCCAGGATAGTGTCCCTGATCTGGTTTCCAATGATGGTAATCAGTTGATTCTGAACTGTTTTTGAGATATAAGTTGCTCTGCTGCTGGCTGTCTTCAGGTGTGAGTCAAGTACGTTGTCCCCTGCTTCGATTCTAAACTTCAGTAATTCGCAGAAGTTGCCTCTGTTTGTAGAAATTTCTTGGTTTGTAGCATCGTCACGGTGGCCACGTAGAGCTATGTTTTGTCTCCCACAAAACAGGACAGTGGAGGCTATCGACTTAAGGATTTGCCTGTTTGTTGCAATGCGTTGAGCTACGGCTGACTGGCCTCTGACATCAACAGCTGTTGCGGGGTTTCTGTATGTTGACAGGAAATCCTCGCTCATTTTCAAAGCTGTCTGGTGGTGGCTCATCTTGTCATGTGCCTTGCACTCTCCTAGGGCCTTGGTCCAATTCCTGACAGGTGTTTTTATGAATGATCCTACAAGAGATCCCTTCAGTTTAGCAAAAAACACACAATGCTTGCAAAAC